CAGGCGGGCGAGAGAGTGCTGCGTCGCCGGCATCGGCGTCGAGAATAGCCGAGCCGAAAAGAGTCGAGTGACTGCACGTGAAAGCATACTAACCTAACCCTAGGTAAGGCTTGTAAGAGCGAAAGACAGTAAACTCGAATGAGCCAAGAAAGAGCGGCGTGCGGGATGGGATGGAGCGCTCAATCCCTCGGTGGCGGGCGGGCGAGAGAGTGCTGCGTCGCCGGCATCGGCGTCGAGAATAGCCGAGCCGAAAAGAGTCGAGTGACTGCACGTGAAAGCATACTAACCTAACCCTAGGTAAGGCTTGTAAGAGCGAAAGACAGTAAACTCGAATGAGCCAAGAAAGAGCGGCGTGCGGGATGGGATGGGATGGAGCGCTCAATCCCTCGGTGGCGGGCGGGCGAGAGAGTGCTGCGTCGCCGGCATCGGCGTCGAGAATAGCCGAGCCGAAAAGAGTCGAGTGACTGCACGTGAAAGCATACTAACCTAACCCTAGGTAAGGCTTGTAAGAGCGAAAGACAGTAAACTCGAATGAGCCAAGAAAGAGCGGCGTGCGGGATGGGATGGGATGGAGCGCTCAATCCCTCGGTGGCAGGCGGGCGAGAGAGTGCTGCGTCGCCGGCATCGGCGTCGAGAATAGCCGAGCCGAAAAGAGTCGAGTGACTGCACGTGAAAGCATACTAACCTAACCCTAGGTAAGGCTTGTAAGAGCGAAAGACAGTAAACTCGAATGAGCCAAGAAAGAGCGGCGTGCGGGATGGGATGGGATGGAGCGCTCAATCCCTCGGCGGCGGGCGGGCGAGAGAGTGCTGCGTCGCCGGCATCGGCGTCGAGAAACCCGAGCTGAAAAGAGTCGAGTGACTGCACGTGAAAGCATACTCACCTAACCCCCTCTAAAGTCTAGACACGTCACTCGACATAGCAGACATCGCTGTTTTAGTATTGGTATACCCAAAGTGACTATAAACTTTTGCACGTTTTACGAAAAAAAAGCTTTTACTACAACAAATATGTGTTACCATCTGTCTTATATTCTCTGCTGTTCCGGTATCATGGGCCAATGAACGTAGACTTCTGCATGACGTAAGAATTAAAATTGGTCAGCTGTAGGTGGATCATCGTGGTCGGATGAATATCAGATGTACTACTGCTTGCTTTTGCGCCGAGTAGCCTTATCATGGTCCTTTTCAGTTATTATTAGGTATTCTAAGAAGGTGTCAAAAAGTATAAGTAAGCTATAGCTCTTGTATATCCTTACCATAAATAGAAATTTTGGTTGACTACTAGCTCCTAGCTCATAAAACGTTGTTAAATAGTACGGTAACTCCAAGGAAGGCTAGACCTAGAATAATATGTCACAAACAACGATATTGCTTGTATGAAAGGTTCATGATTAATTTAGTGACGATTCTTGACTATTTGACAGACTTATACTACTATATAGGCTACGGCATATTTGATTCAGAAAATAATGGCTGTTTCTGTAATGCACGTTTGTGTAAAAGAGGGAAATAATCAATTTTACTGATGTCAGTTGATCTAAATTCAGAAGACAAGAGCCTTGGAAGCAATGATAAGTTATGCCGGAGTTGCGAGAAAAGTAGTATTGGAAACGATTCAGAGGTGAGAAATCAAGTTGTAGACCGACAGTTGATGTTTCAAAATAAAGTTCCATTTAAGAGGGACCCACTATTTATTACCACAGCTTATGGCGACCCACTTAACACTACCGGGTTTCCTCGGAATGAAGACCTGGCCTGAAAATAAGATAATAATTTGAATTTTCAAAATGATTTTAATTAAACCCTACCCTCAAAATAAATTTAAAATGTGTGGGAGAAGAAAAGTTCATTGGCCTGAGGTAAGGGAAGATCACACCACTATTCAAGATTGTGTGATATCACAATTATGATATCTGTCACTTGATTTTTGTATAGGAAATACAAATAAAAACAATGGATGTCGGTTTTTATATAATGTTTAGTAAAAAATCTTGTGATTTTCTACAATGTAATTTTATTTTGATAAATGAACACAAAAGACCTCTTCCAAAAAAAAAACCATAGTGTTATTCTTCAAAAATAAAATAAATCTAAATCCTGTCTAAATTTCGGGGAAACACGGTAAAAAGTGCTGTACAGTGTACAAATCTGCTATGCGTAAAAAAGCCACATGGTCATTCTTTGTGTAGCAAATTTTTGTTCCTTTGAGAAGCTCGTAAAAAGGAAACTTTCACAGATTAGAATTTAAATTTGATTTAATTTCTTTTGTTTTTTTGAAGATTTACGTATTCGGGTCACGACCCATAGTTTGGGAACCGCTGGTTTATAGGGCATTTAGACTCTGATATATTGACATTCAGTGTAGAAATAGTCTAGTATGCAAACACTACAGGACTGTAGTACATCAGATAAAATGCATTATGTATCGGAAGTATTAGTCAGTATTTAGCGGTAGTTTTACACTCATGGTGTTCCAAATATAATTTTCTTCATCATTTTAGATACTGTACTACAAAAGGAAACGGCATTCTTCCACCAATCCAACCTAACGCAGGCTCTAATCCCTGCTGCTATCAGTGCTATACCTGTAAGAATAAAATGAATCGAACAAGAAGTGTTGAAGCGTAAAGGTATATGAGAAGATAACAGTCGCAAACAGCTTAGATGGGTTATTCATAATGAAATACTTTGGCACTTTTCTGCAATTGAAACTGTTCATCAAACTGATGTAGGAGAACTTCATTGAGTTTTTCAATTCATTTTTTTCTCAACTATGAAGATCTTTTGAGGTTAACGAGGCATTAATAAATAAGGCTGAGGAATTTGTTTGTTTGCTGTATGGAGAGAACATGAAAAATGTAAATGATACCAGGGCACGTCTTTTTAACACGGGCAAACATATGGATTATACTCTCCCACCCAACAATGATTCACTGAAAAAGCATGTTCTGGGAATAAATTACCAAGCAGGACTCATCACTGTTGACTAAAACTAAGTGCAATTATTCTCCCACCTATTGGTCATGGATTGGTTTTTGATGATGATGTTTTGCGGGTTGAATTGATGGACCTAGGGTTTGTTTATGTTGTAATATATATATTTTTTGTTTAAATATACTATTATGATGGCCCTATTCGGTACTGTTTTGGCGGGTCTGAGTATTGCAATAACATCCAAATTTATATTATAAGAATCCGACCACTCATTACACATGCGAGAGAAAATATATCTCTTGTGCTTTTAATCAGCCGATAGGTCGATCGAAGGTCGGTCGCTTCTCAGTTGTGTTTGTTACTAAAACCGTATTTAGCCGGGAGAGCAGTTAAGCGATACTATGACTAGTGAGTAAGAGTTAATATCCGTTACGTATACGTCTTATCGTGGACGTATGTCAAAACAAAAATCAATAAGACACTTTTGCATCGTTGTCAAGCTTGATATATGCTTGTCCGAGTGTTCGTAATCGCGGTAGCGCGTCATTTTGATTTGGCATATTTTCAATTCTACGAGTTTTATGTCTGTAAGTACTTGGACTAGGCTTTCGACAATTCATCAAATCAAAAAAGAGCGAGATTTGGTATCAAGATTTGGGTGTTGGCTGAGTCAGCCACGGGATACGTGTCAAAACTTCAGATTTATGTTGGTAAAGATCCAACGGCTGATCCAGAACCCGGACTGTCTTCTCGGGTAGTGAAATACTTGATAAATCCTTTTGAGGGGCTGCATCATCATCTGTATGTGGATAACTTTTACACCAGCCCGGAACTCTTTGAGTATACGCTCTCAAAAGGTGTTTACGCTTGTGGTTGTGATACCTTCAGGAGCAATCGAGTGGGATTCCCAAAAGAACTTATTGTGACGCGCGTGAGAGCTATTGACAGAGGCACAAGCGATTGGCGCATGTCAAACCAATTGCTCGCCCAATCATGGGTTGACAATAGAGTCGTATATTTTCAGTCTACTTTTCACAAGCCGGAATATGGTCCATCAGATGTCGGCCCTAGGACAGTGAAGAGGAAAGGTGGACGAGGAGATTCATCAGGTTCTATCGACGTGCCATGCCCACCTCTACTCCGTGACTATAACACGCATATGGGCGGCGTTGATCTGTCAGATCAGATGCGCAAATATTATAATTTGACGGGAAGTCAAGGGTTTGGTACCGTAGGGTATTTTCGTATCTATTAGAAGTGGCAGTCCACAATTGCCGAGTGATCGCGGAAAAAATTTTGGAAAGGAGATGGTCCGGATTGGAATTTCGGATGGCTTTAGTTACTGCTCTGATTGGCAGTCAACGAGCCTCCAAAGGCCTCTCTGGATCGTCGACGGCATCCCTGGACAGGCTACAGAATACAGGGGAGCACTTTCCAATCTCTACCGGGCTCTGAAAGTGTGCAAAGTGTGTTCCAAAAAATGCAGAGTCGGTGCCGACGAAAGAGTTACAATTCCACGAAGCTCGGTAAAATGTAGGGAATGCGATGTCCACCATTGTGTTCGAGAAGGCAGGGACTGCTTTCTTCATTGGCACACGAAAGTGGAATATTGGCGACGAACCCAGTACTATTTTCCGTTTAGTGGTCTTTTTCAATATGCCTTTTAGATTTTGTTTTCTCTGTGTGCTTGTTCATTGTTTTTTACATATTCAGTACTGTTTTCCGTTTAGTGTTTTTTTTTTAATATCCTTTTTACATTTCGTTTTCATTGTGTGTTTGTTCATTGTTTTCATAAATGTCGTTATTTACTCAACACAATTGTGATTGATGATAGAATTCAAAAGATATGGGGACGAACGACATAGAATTTAGGTCGCTTTTCAGATAATAAACTAATGTCAGCAATAAGTTTACGAGTGCTGAGAGCTGTATAGTAAGTCAAAAATAAATATTCGCCGGCATCGTCAAATGCTAATTGAATATATTGCGCTATTTCATTACTAATGCGCATTGGCGGCGCTAGACGTTTGCGATTTTGTGCCGAATTGAAGGTCGCGGGGCCATCTTGCTACGTGCGACTTTCTGCTTGCGGGTGCGCTGAGTGGGTTGGATCAAAGCGTTGGATTAGCCGTGTCAACGGTGCAAAATGTAAGATATTTTGAGGAAATTCATCGTTATGCGCGTTGTAATGGATTTCCACGCTATTGTTGGTGGTTTAGCCATTAACTTGGAAAAGGATAACACAAAAGATGTATGCATAGAGGTTGAATGATCAATTTTTGGAAGACAGGTGGGTACGGTGCCGTATTTGGTCTAGCTTGTGAAATACAAGTAAAATTTATATGTGATCGGTACAGATGTTGGTGGTTATACCATGACACCTAATATATAAAACCACGTTCTGGTTTTGCAAGATTGTTGAAATACCGTAATATATTTCGATAGCTTTTGACAGTATGATGTTTCGTTAACTAGGTTTTGCTCGATTTTGTTGTGGTTAACATGTACCTAATGCCATGCCAGTCTAGGTTCGAATCAATGAACGAGCCCAAATTGGAAACTGTTGAATAACTGTTATATCTTACCAGAGATACAACGTTCATCCATGTAGAAGCGAAATACCAGTAAGCAATCTTAACCTAGTAAGCCATTTTACTTCCAACTTCAATATTTTAATTATTAGGTGAAAGTGTGAAGTGAATCAAGTCATTTGCTGCTGCCTACTCCTGAAGTCTCTCCAGAAGTGTCTCCACTTCCTTCCACTAACCAGCTTTTCTACTAGTGTCAACACAGCACAAGGCACATTCATTTCATTTTTGCATTTTGTTTATTTTTTTGTAAAATTTGTAATGCAATTCAAACTTACAAAAATTATGCAAGCACTCGTTCTATCTGAGATGTACCGGGTATGCAAGAAACTAAGAAACTAATTTTGTAGAGTAGACAATATTAGAATAAGAAGATTCAAGTATGAAATCCATAAATCTGTCCTAGTGAATCAATCAGGAAAGTTTGAAAGTATTATATAATCTTGAACCGCCAATATGCAAAACTGAAGGCAATTGTACAAAGCGGACTAAACAAAAAAGCATATTAAAAAAAATATGCAAAAACTGAGGTAATTGTACAAAGTGGACGAAACAAATAAAGCATATTAAATATATGCAAAACTGTAGGCAATTGTACAAAGTGGACTAAACAAAAATGGCATATTAAAAAATATAAATATGAAAAATGGCATTGAAAGAGTGTGTGTATAGAATGTAATGGGCATGTACAAGGTTGTTTATGAAGTTTATTCCCAATTAGTCGATTACTGATTTTTCAGCAGCACCAATTTGGTCATGCGCCTTCAATTCTGGACTGATGGATTTCAGCAGTCTTCTCTCTGCCAATATGGCGGTACCTTAGGTCACAGTATTTTTTGATAATTTTTTTTATGAGGACATAGAAATGATCATCTTCAATTGCACATTCAGTCATGTGTTCACTAAGTTTTGGGAATAACCTTTTTGTATTAATTGACTCCAACACAGCGCATGAGATTGCAGTCGTCAATCCTCTTTGTTTTGGAATTTCACTATTTGTTGTAGATAACATTCTCTGGAAGCAGCGCTCGGTTTCTTGGCAGATGTATACAACACTATTAGAGGGTTTTGTCAAACCCCCTCTGTTCTTGAATTGCAAAAAACTAGAAGCCGGATATGTGTCCGATACCAGCACATCTGCACATTGACTACAGCTTGTTACATTTTTCACAGACTTAGCAACAAAACCAGCAAAAGTAGGCAATTACGGAGTACTTATATTCCGAGAGCATGATAATATTTGGCTTGTCATCATAGTCATGATCAACAGGGGCTGGATCTCTCATAACCATGTCATATTTCCGTATTATGCTAGCTGTTGTTAAACTCACATTTGCTTCATGGGCACTGCTATTCTCGAGAAGGTGGAGCATGCGCGTATAATCCAAGGGTTGACAATTTCCTCCTGTACATTTAATACCACCTCTCACTAACATGCAGTGAACTGTTGAGCAGTAGGGTTGTTGTTAAATCCACCGGCAGATCGAACTGCACAAAAAAATAGCTCCAGATGATCTTGACTCATTTTGTAAGTCAGAATGTAACGAAGAATGCCACTTTCAACGAAATCTTCAAAGATCATTTTCACGCTGGCAATTGATACCATGAAAACCTAAAAAACCAGTTTTGCGCCTAGAAGATAGAACTGGAGTGCCAGTGCTAGTCTTTAGATTTAAAATATACTGGGCGCATGTGTCAAGAAAAGAATACCATGAATGCTTGTTGTTGATGCGTAATGGTGTCTTGTATCCCCTGCCAAGTGGGTTCCTAGAGTTTAAAATGTCGAACAGATGGTCAAATTTTCTTATGAATTCAACAGTTGCATCACAACCACTAAACTGCTGCAAATGCAGATGATGGTTGCAAAACTCCAAGGCATCTGCGACCCCCTGACTCAATGTTTGTGCAGCAATATTAACTTTCATTTTTTGTTCTTTCCAATATATGTGGTCACGTTTCAATTTGTTTGCCAACCGAAGACCTTCTTCACGCTGCAGCTTTTCCAATGCCCTTATGTAATTCCAAGATATGGTCTGGCCATTGTGATTTTTTAGAATACCGAACTCTGCAAAAGTGTTGCGAACAAGCTTCAACATATGACAAACATCAAGAACTATGTAGATTTTCTAATCTTGATCTGAGGGATTAAGAAAAAAGGGGCGCATGTTTGTTGGACTAATTGAGGCTCCCAGAGATGACAGCATAGCGAAATGACATGAAGGCCCATCACATGTAATAGATGTTATCAATACTCCAGTCTTTGATAATTTTGTTATACAGCATTTAACAATATTAGCTCTCTCAGTGCCTGATAGCCCGTCAATCATAAAATAGCCAAGAGGGACTTTCCATGATGAATTTACAGCCACAGTCATAATAACCAGAGCCTCTTTTGCGACCGGTGCTGAGAGATCTTGATCAGCTCCAGAGCCTATGTCGACAAGTCCCCTGTATTTCTGTCCATCCCAAAAAATATCCTTTCGTACACTCATTTCATCCAACATGATTGAACAAACCACTTTCTCTTTTGACTGCGCAGCCTCAGCTTTCAAGGCATTAAATGAAAGCTCAGTAAATCCTGGCTCGGCTGGAATTTTGGAATACCAGCGTCGAATTTGACATGGGTGAGGTAAAGCTAGATTGAATGTTTGCCTTACGAATTGGTAAGCCTTAGCAGAATAAAAGTGCAAAGTAAAGGCAAATGCTTTCAATTCAGGGGGATACTTTTTGTGGCTGGGTCCATCAAGGGTTCGCTTAAACATTGCCGAAGGTATAGGTGAGAAGGACTGCAGCAAAAGTTCCTCACAGCTTGTGGTGATTAAATTTTTCTTTTCAATGATTTTATAAACAGTTGTGATGTTTTGAACAGCTACTTTCAGTCGCTTGGACTTTTGCTTGGATACCTTGAGCTTTTTTCTAACAGCCATCAGTCGTTCTGTTTTATTTCTAATTTTTCAACAAACTTACGAGACTTGCGCTGCAGTTGTAAGAATGGTCATGGATGACATATATTTTTGTTCAAAAGTCCCAACTTCGTTTAGCCTATCCACTCCAATGTTAGGTGAAAGACGACAAGCTGGGGGCTTGCGTGAAGAGGTAACCTAAAATGTAAAACCATACAGCTGCTCAGAGGATTTTAAAAATAGGGCAAAGGCTGCTAGGTAATAATGCAGGAATATATAGCAATATTATGGGCTACTGGTGTAAACTTCAAGGTGCAAAACGAGTAAACAGTAAGCTTTCGGGGCAGGTGCATCTGTTTGAGCAATATTAAGCCAGCCTTATGATGCAGCATCTAGCGGATTTTCTTGTCATTTATATTTAGTCGAGGAATATTGTCAAAAAGGGGAAAAGAAAGAGCAAGTTGATTTCACTGAGGTACTTATACTAACCTTATAAAAATGCTTTGGGAACATTTTAAATCTGGAAGGAAATGCATCCACCCGTACTCGTACTGTCTGCCCCGTCCTATCCAAATCTTTTTCCTTGAAATGGTCCGAACATAACAAAGAAAATTGTGTAGGCTGCCAATTTTTCCTACGGCATTTTGATATCTATACAGACCGACGAGAAATATCTTTGGGAAACCTAAAAAATAGAAACTATGTCACACAAAAAATAAAATAGGTTGTTTTAGTAGCCTGGGATTTTCTCTATTTGATGATCTAGTCAGTTTTTCTAGAACATCATTAAAATTATATGTAGTATAATTGAAAGAATTATCTTATTCTCATACAAATGTTTGATGTTTTCGATATATGACCGGGTGGTAAGAATACAACCACTAAGGTCTAAGGTCATCCGAGCCTGTACCACCCAATATGGAATAGGCTACTTAAATAAATAGTTGACAGGTTCAATATTTTCAACTCTCACAATATTTGTAACTTTTATACAGCATATAAACATTACCATGCTATTTTTGAAATATAATTAAAGCATAATACATTGAATAAATTTTTTGAATGAATACAATAGGATAGGATTTACATATTTATCCCGAGGAAGAGGAAAGCCGATGAGACAGCTTAACCATATGGCGAACCACGGCCTCTCGTCCGGGTTACCAGTCCATGTAGGGTATGAGTCATGAGATAAGTTTTAGTTATTTGTTTTTTCGGAAGCATGGACTTGATGGCGGAGGAAGCCGTAACCGACCAGCGATTGATGGACAAATAGAATAACCATTCAGTATTTTGTATATATAATTTTCTATCATATTTCTTACACATGAAAAGTTCTGGGAAATTTCCTTTTGACTAAGCTTTCCTCATCATCACTCCCCTCACTGTCACTTCTGGGTCTCTTTCTTGCCCTTTTTTTATCGCACCCAAAAGCTGAGCAATTGCCTCCCTTGCCTTTTTGTAATTCTCGCTAAAAAAAAATAACAAGTGTTGCAACAAAACATATGACAGTACTAACAATAACATGTTATCAATCTGCAAGTCTTTAGCATAACCTCATGCTCATTAGGTTTTCTTCCCGATACACTCAGATACTTACCATCAAAGCAACATTCTGAATTGAATGAGTTAAATACCGGTACTGTAAACGAGAAAATTATGAATATCCTTAATGCTACTGTAGACTATACAGTAACGTACCGGTACCGGTACCGTACCTTGCTGACTGTGCTGATGGTGTTGGTGCTCCTTGGAGTACCGGTACCTGTATCAATTTCCATATTGACGATGCTGCTTGTAGTGGTAACATGATCCATGATTAGATGATAGACTAGGACACTAGGTAACTTAAGTCTAAAATTGTGGACGAAAAATTATAATAGGCATACGACTACTTACTAGGGGTGGAGGCCAGATTAACCAGATTAACACTACCGCGTCTACCGGTATGTTAGTACCGTACCCAGAAGAGTGTTATAGTTCGCTTATTATCTTCATTTGCCCAAATTACTGGTTTTCCTCGTTAAATATTAAATATGCCATAATTATAACTCGATTTATCCGGCGAACGAGATGAGGAGGTGAAGCCGTAGTCGCACGTAGCCAGATGGCGACCGTCGTCTTCAAATCGGCACATATTTTTTTGTTCCTATGCGCACTCTAGACCTCTGTGAAGCTAGCAGCAAAACACGAAATTGTGACTGACAGAATCGCAGAAAATACCCACGGCGTAAATTAAATGTTCCCAATGATTTTTAAAAGAAAGTGTAATATTTTGATTAGTTTTACAATAGCAAATAAAGCAAAACAATCATTAACTACACTACTCGTATTGTTAATATATAGTAAACAAGCTAAAGCGACTATTACAGTGCATAAATTT